TGATGAATAAATTGAACAGGACTGGACCAAGGACTGACTCCTGGGGGACACCGCTGGCTACAGGCCTCCAACTAGACTCTGCACCGCTGATCACCACCCTCTGAGCTCTGCCATCCAGCCAATTCCTAAGCCACCTCACCGTCCACTTATCTAACCCACACATGAGGCCATCAAGGTGCCTTTGGGGCAAAGCAGATCAATAGCATCCCCTGTTGCATTAGGAAGAGTGTAGCCAGCAGGTCGAGGGAGATGATCTTTCTCACCTTGGCCCTGGTGAGATACCCCTAGAATGCTGTGCTTACTGCTAGGCTTCCCAGAACAGGAGAGACATGGAACAACTGGAGTGATCTCAGCAAAGGGTCACAAAGACAATTAAGGGAATAGAGTATTTCTCACATGAGAAGAGAGCTGGAGCTGTTCTAGCTGGAGAAGAGAAGGCTCAAGTGGATCTTATCTATGTGTACAAATATTGGGGAGAGGCAGAGAAAGGAGAAGGTGCAAAGACTATGGAGTCAGACTCTTCTCAGTGGTGCCCAGTGACAGGACAACGGGTAAGGGGCTGTGGAGTTTCCATCCTTGGAGCTGTTTAAAACTCAGCTGGACAAGGTCCTTTGCAACCTGCTGCAGCTGACTTGGCTTGAACAGAAGGATTGGACTGGACAATTGCCAGAAATACCTTCCAACACTGACATTCTGTGATTCTGTGATTTTATCTGACTCACAAAATGCTATCTGCAAAATGCTTAAGTGCCCAGGCGAACCAGTGCTTCCTTTCAGTAAGCATCACTGTGATGCTGCATCAGTTCAACTGCTACAACCCAACTGTGCTACTCTTGAGCAAATCAGCCTTCCCTCTCATGCAAAATTGGATGCCAGAGTGGTTTCATCTCTTGGATCTGCTCTCTGTGAATAAATGCATGTTCCCCATGCCTTTGTCACACACTGTGGGCTAGAGAGTGTTCTCTTTATGCCCCAGTTTTGATTGTCCTTTACAGCAACCAGCATCAGAAGAAAGCCAGCATTGCTCGTTAGTAGTTGCCACACCACAGTGCTTGAAATTACCATTCTCTCTTACAGTTAAATAAAGCAAACCTAACTACACTGTCAGAAAAATGACCATTCTGCAGTACCTGCTTTAGCGTCATTCCCATACAGAAAAATGGGGCACACAGCTGAGTGGCCAGGAAGGTCTGGGGTCTGGAGCTGAGTATACTGAAATTTTTGCTTCTTCATGTTCTCACAAATAACTCATTTCACCCAAACTGCTTTGGGATGAGGTGGTACAGGGCTTGCGGCCATACAAGCTCCAAACCGGGACAGCAGAGCCTGCTCATGTCTGGCACAGACAGAGCACAAGCTAATGCTGGCAGCAGCTCTCATGTGTTACAGTGCCAACCGACAGGAGGAAAGTGGGCCCCTTCAGGTTCACTTTTCCTGGTGTATTTAAAGACAGACAGGAGCTTGAACTAATTGTCTCACCTTTTCCTGATTTCCGCTGAAGGAAAAAGAAAAAATATTTTCACTAATCACAAAAGTTCTTCTTAACTAATTAAGATTTTTGGTTGCATTGATCTCCACACAGATTTCTTGAAGCAAAAACTAAGTCTGTGAACCCCAGATATGGTTTAGGTTAATGTGTACCTAAAATGTAACATTAAATTGACCTCTTCGTTATCTTCAGGCATTTCAAGAGAAAATTAAAACAAATTAAAAACTCCTTCATCTATTTGCTCATTTCCTTTACTATCAAATGCAATCTTTTTTTCTTCTGAACAGTGTTTATTCCTCTGAACAAATTGTATGTTAGTTCTCCTTGTCTCAATCTGCAAATGCAGCTACTCCTCCATGACCATCGAGAGCCCTGGCATAACTTCCCAGACAACAGAAGGAGAGGCCGATTCCAGCTGCAGTATGTTCCGCTCAGCCCTATTTAGAAACGTGCATTTGTGGGGTTTGTTTGTTAGCTTTCTAAGTGTCAGCAACAGGAGAGCTGACCGACAGCACAACTACTGCTAC